TGTGTGTCCAGGGGACCTGGCTGCCAGCTGACGGTGTGTGGTCCACAGGCCAACGATCTGAAGATAGATCGAGCCCACGCTCTCTGACCGGAGAGCTCGGACCAACGTAAGTAAAAAGTCCAGTGGCCAAGGACCCATGCTGCTCTCAGGTTGTTGTTTCATCATAACGTTTTTTATATTTGCACTCGCAACCTGGTAGGCCTACTAGCTTAGAGAAATCAATGGATCCATGTTGTTCTGTATCTGTTATAGACTACATGTTCAGTGACACGATAACTGAAGACCTAAATAGTTTCTTAATGGTCCGATTTACTATATAAACGCTTGTCTCTGAAGTGTTTGGTGAAACACCGAAACAGATAATTGTAGCATCCCGCCATAATCCCTCTGTTTCAGGCTGTTCAAAGGCTGATTCTGTGTCTGTAGCTTTAAATGCTAATGAGCTCCTGCTGGCCACGCCCCTCTGAGAGATGATTGGCTTAAAAAACACAATGGTGCTCTAGAGGGGTATTTAGCTTATACGTTCGGTCGGCTTTACATTGGTTAGTTAGTGGCTAACCCAACAAAAACATTGTGACTTCACAAAGTGGCTAAATCAGCTCATTTTCAGACAGGTTTTAAAATAGGTGGATCAGGACAAAAAGAGAGAGAATCTTTTTTCCTGGGGACTCATAGTTATGTATAAAAGCGATGAAAAAGGGGATTTTGGGTGAATGAAATAAACACCTGGCAATTGAATTAAATTAAATACAATAGCAGGGAAATAAATACTACTAAATGTTACATTTTTATTGGGGCTGTGTCACAATGGTTCAAAAAAATGGCATTTAACTGACGAGGTATTTTGCTGGTGAGAGATTTTAGTTGCTTTAGCGTGTAGAAGCTAGTAAGCCTACTATTTGATTTGTTTTAGATAGGCACAACATGTTTCATATGCAGACCTTATGTTGCTGTTCCATTTGAAAATAAACCATTTTCAGTGGTACCGCTGAGAAAGAGTATTTTCTTTGGTCATGGAAAATTAGGTAAAGGTCATGGAGAAGTCATGGAAAAGTCATTGAAAATCATTGGTGAAAAAGCGTATGAACCCTGGAGAGAGCTCAAGTGTATAGGAATGTTGTAAAACAGTAAGGGTGCAATGGAGTCTGCTGGACAGGGGCGTTGGTCAGCAGTAATGTGGGGGCTGCTTCAGACTCTTGTGATATGTCAAATATGTTTGTAATTTCTCTAAACAAGAAACCACTAACCTTATTACTTGGGAAAACACCAGAGGGAACTAAACAAAAGATTCCTACTTATTTCTCGTAATAAGAATAGCAATTATCAAACAGATTACAAGGAATTGGTGAAAAGATATTAACTTCATTAACTCACAATGGAAGGATCTAGTAAATGAAATGTATGGAATGGAAAAATTAACCGTGAGAATCAGAAACCAAGTTCATATCTTTGATGAACGATGGGAAACATGCGTGAGTTATAGAACACAAAACATTTATAATGACCAGTTTGTAAAATGTGACAATTAATGTAGATATGAGTATTAGAAAGACAGATATAGGGTGAGGAATCAGACATCGGGACAGTCAGTGGTTCTTTGCATCTGTTTCGTGGCAGGACCACCTGATCAGGATGCCTCCTGGGAACCTTTCTCGGAAATGTTTCTGGGCACATCTGGGAGGAAGTCTTGGGTATACCTAGAACCCTAATGAGAGATGATATACTTTATCTGGCTTGGAAACGATTCGGGAATATGTTTTTGTGGAAAAAGGCAACAGATATAATTATCAACCAGTCCAGTTCCCCTCAGCAACTTTTAAGTAAAATTCCTCCCATCCTCCCTCAAGCTACAGCAACAGGCTGTTTTCAGTGAAACATATCTGGTAAACCTGCCTAGCACCAATCGGTATCTTGGACCACTTGGGGATGCACCACTACCTAATGAACATAATTGTTTTTGGTGGTTAAGGTACCCACGTGATGGAGGGCTCGGGCAGGATGCTGGTGACCGCTGTAGGAGTCAACTCACAGACGGGCATCATCTTCACCCTGCTGGGGGCTGGAGAGCTGGAGGAGGAAGGGAAGGATAAGAAAGGTAAGTGAAGGAGAGGAACCAGGAGAGAGACACAAAATACAAACTAAACATTTTTTGGACTGTATTGAAAAAAGGTTAGAAATAGAAATATTTTTATTGAAGAATCGGGAAATGAACATTCTAAATATTTAGTGAAACATTAGAAGAACAAATGGTTTGGTTTTTGAAATGCAATGCAGTAGTAAACAGACGAAAAGAAGACAGTATCTCTCTGCCATCTCTGCCATCTCCATGGATCAATACCTCACACTGCTCTCGAGTCATGTAGTCACACACACGTACTGTAGATGGATTACTGAATTACCAAGCACAGGCCCATGTGCTGCTAAGACACACAACGAACACAAGATCCTGTACAACAACCTCAAACACAAGAATGAGAGAAACAAAACAACTTTGACATGTCTTTGCCATTATCTGGCAGTGTGTGTGTGTGTGTGTGTGTGTGTGTGTGTGTGTGTGTGTGTGTGTGTGTGTGTGTGTGTGTGTGTGTGTGTGTGTGTGTGTGTGTGTGTGTGTGTGTGTCCTTGTACAGTGATTTGGCTGCCTAACTGATTGCAGATAAGAGCTCCAACAGGAAAAACAGCAGTTTAACCTCATCGATAATTTAGACCACATCCTCATCCCCCTGAACCTCCCCCCCCA